CTTATGATTGTTTGTGAAGTTTAGCATTGCATTAGTCGGATACAATGTGTCTGTGTTAGTCAGAACTTCACACACACACACACACACACACACACACACACACGATACTTCACTGTGAAGTGTCACCGCAGACTAGTTGCCGTTCCCTTATGATTGTTTGTGAAGTTTAGCATTTTCTGAGTAAAAACCATTTTGAATGAAATCCTACAGCAGATTTTGACATCATCAGTCGCTCACTTTCACCGGATCAGGTTTCCCTCTTCAACTCTGCGACGGCTGACCACAGATCATACACACTTTACAATAAGGTCCCATTAATGCATTAACAATGAGCAATACACATTTGTTAACTTTAGCAAATAAAAATTGAATAATAAAAAAAATATATAAGGGTAATAACCATTTGATGTTAAAGAATATAAACAACTTTTGATTTGTAATAATGCACACTGTAAACAATGCTTTTTCAAGGTACATTTACAAGAAAAAAAAAATACAATTTCAGTTTTTCTAAAATCAAAATTTCATTTTTAATTCAATGCGTCACCTGCCATTCCTTTATAATTTGTTTCAAATTAGCAGATTTTCTTTGAGTGTATTAATTAAATGAGTAATTAATGCTGTAGAAGGATTGTTCATAGTTCATGTTAATCAGCCGATCGTGTCGCTCGCAACTGCAGTCAAGGGTTCGATTCCCAGGGAATGCATGAACAAATAAACATTTTCATTGAACTAGTGTAAAATAAGGGTTTCATTTCAGCAATTTCATTGGACATCGTTATATATTAGGTGTAACTGAGCAGCTGATTATTAGTATTATCAGACAATGTTTTATAAATAAATTATTATCATTATCAGCCAATGTTTTTTAAATAAATGTAAATAAGCATCTTCTGTATCATCAGCATTAGTTCAACACAAAGTTCATGAAGAGCTGGTTTATCAGAAACACATTCCTCATGCATTAGTCAATACAATGTGTCTGTGTTAGTCAGAACTTCACACACACACACACACACACACACACACACACACACACACACACACACACACACACACACACAATACTTCACCGTGAAGTGTTAGTTACTCTGATTCACTCTTATCTCCACATTATTACACTAAATGAAACAGCACTGCATTGAAATACATTTACATAAAATGATTATAACAATGACTCCTCAAACAGTGAGAAAAATATGATCATAATTCTTAAGAAACTTTAATGAGTTTAAGAGATTTTACACTAAGAGTGAACTCAGTATTAAAGACACAGTACACTCATTGACAGACAGTGAGTCACGACCGAGTAATGCAGATCCACCAGTTTATCCTGAACTCACGGAACCGAACACACACACACACACACACACCGCAGAAATAACCACAACACTAACCAACACACACTCACTGTCTCATTTCAAGCTAATACAATAACAAACTGTTCCTAACATAGACAGGGTTCCTAAACCGCTTAATAATACGAGGCTTAAACACCAACTCTGACCTAAGATTATCACACACACATGAAACTTGTCTAAGAAGTACGAATGTATCATTATGTTGTTTCTTACCGTACACTCCACTGAGAAGAACCCTATGAATGTATATGGAATATTATAAGTGATAATAACAGATGAGGAGTGAGACTCGACCGGGATCGCAGTGATCGGGCACGCGCACAGGTGCGACGGTCAGTCCACAGGTAACTCATGCTCTCGAGGTGTCACGTGACTCTCGGCGACGCCCACGACACACACATCTCGCGCTGAGTTTATACTAAAGAAGTGCATGTGTGAAGTTTACATTTATATGGGGTTTAGCCTACTTTAAATTTGGCCCGATTTAATTCATTGATCGTGTAAAAAAAGGCAGTTTTCTAATGTAGGAAGTCAGCTGATAAAAGTCATTGTTTAGTGCACTAGATAATATAGATTAAACCTGCTTTTTTCTTTTTACTAAAGCTCATCGGTACAGTATTTGTGTAAACTAGCATATGATTATAAAACATTTTAAGAGACAGGAAATCCATACTTTTAAGAACATAACCTGAGTGCTGTTGTTTACTAGCGCTGCACATGTGTGCGAGTCAGGCGCAGTGAAACCAAACTACCCCGCAGCTGATCGACAGCTCTCTCAGCCAATCACAACGCTGCATGCGCCGTGACAGCCAATCAGGATGGAGGATTGCCAGAGGGCCGCGTGCACACACGCGGAAGTTCGTCTGAACCTGCGACAGTGTGTTTTCTGAGCTTATAATGAGTAATATCATGTTCACTTTCACTAAACTGATGCTTAAGATGTTTTAATATTTAAAGGGCAACATGAGCGGTATGTGCAGGGAGGTAGTTACACTCCAGCTGGGACATTATTCCAACTTTGTCGGGACACATTGGTGGAATTTACAGGTGAGGATGTTTAATAACGGATACATTACGAAGCTGAAGAAACCTGACATCACTGTGAAAAGAAATTAAACAAAATGTCAGAAACAACCTGACAGCTTCTACCTCTGTTTGAAGGAGATTACGTATCCATTTATGATTTTACAGTGTTGTAAGTACACTTATAAAAAGTGGTATGATTTTGTTAATTGTCATGGTGCTTGTATTTATGACCATGTAATACCTTGATGTTCTTTGAAATACCATGTAAATATGGTAATTATTCAGTACCCTGGTTTAAAGCTTTCATAAACACTTTTTGTAATTCTGGTTGAAACTGTCTTCACATCCTGATAGCAATCAATAATAGAAGTGGTCTAAATATTAAAACACTTGTCTGTGGAAGTCTCAGGACCAGAAAATGTTCGTCCAATCATTGCATTCGGTCCGAGTGCACTGATTGGATGTCCTACTTGCCTGTCAACATATGTATTTCCATACCTTGGGAGGAGGCGTGGCTCTGAAACCTTTAAAGTCACCATGAAATCAAAATGGACTTTTCTTAATTGTTTATGGAGTATTTGTGGTGAAAATCCAGCATTTAATGTTGTTTATGTGTCTATGTGGTGTTTTTAATACGCTTTAAGACACACCATGTGTAAGTTCATAAGTCGACAGCATTGCTGAGTATTTTCTGCTTAAAACTGCAGTGAACCAAAGACAGTCTCAAAAACACGGTTTGAAATCACTGGTGTTTCTGACGTCACAAACGACCTTGTAACCAATCAGATCAACGTGTGATCGTCAACCAGTGGATCTCTGAGCTGAGTGAGTGAGTGGAGGCGGGGTCATTTGCATATTCATAGAACTGCGCATACTAAATGAGCCAAGGGTGTCGAGTTACATTCAAGATATTTTAAGGCATGACGACATTTTTTTCATGTCATTTTGGTGAGTTGGTGACTACAGGGGGACTGTAAATTCATGACTTTAAAGTACCATGTTATAGCAAGCCATCTGAAACAGTCTCAGTAAAGCATGTGTGTGTGTGTGTGTAGGATGCGGGTCTGGTTTATGACGCGGTGGAGCCGGCGGGTGAGCTTCAGAGTGACGTGATGTTCAGAGAGGGTCAAACGCTGGGTGGTCATGTGACATACACACCTCGACTCATCGCCATGGACCTCAAAGGTACCGGAGTCGATCCTGATTCCTGGAATAAAGCAGAAATATAAATGCAGAACATATTCTCAAGCATACTAACTGTTTTCGCTTGTATACCAGTAATTAAATTATGGAAGCTTGTTTCCACCACAGAATAAAAAATAAAATAGGTAATTGCGACTTTTTATCTCACAATTCTGACTTTTTTTCTCACAATTGCGTGATATAGCCACAATTGTGTGTTATACAGTCAGAATTGCGTGATAAAGTCACAATTGTGTGTTATAGTCAGAATTGTGTGATATACCGTAAAACTTCAAAGAGAGAGAGCAAGACAGCGCTCGTGTTGTTTGAAGACGTGAGAGTGCGCGCGCGCGGCTGGGGCTCTCTCTCTCTCTCTCTCTCTCTCTGCTCGTTATGCGCCCTGTCAAGCGCAGCAGTCAATTCTACATCACTCGCCGATCAAAAAAGGCTTTGGCGGGACACACATTTGCTTTGGCGGCCGCCAAAAAGCGGACGATCGGACGGGTTTTAGAAGGTTAAATACAACCCGAAACTAAAAAACAGACCCGGCCTCTATTTGAGACCGGCCTTTATTTACCCAAACCTGCAGCCACACCAGGCGTGTAAAAGAGACAGGCGTCTATTTGGGACTCGGCTATTATTTGAAGTTTTACGGTAGTCGCAATTGTGTGTTATAAAGTCAGAATTGCGTGATATATAGTCGCAATTGTGTGTTAAATAGTCAGATTTGCGTGATATAGTCACAATTGTGTGTTAAATAGTCAGAAATGCGTGATATATAGTCGCAATTGTGTGTTATATAGTCAGAATTGCGTGATATAGTCAAACAATTGTGTGTTATATAGTCAGAATTGCGTGATATAGTCACAATTGTGTGTTATATAGTCAGAATTGCGTGATATAGTCACAATTGTGTGTTATAAAGTCAGAATTGCGTGATATAGTCACAATTGTGTGTTATAAAGTCAGAATTGCGTAAAATATAGTCGCAATTGTGTTAAATAGTCAGAATTGCGTGATATAGTCACAATTGTGTGTTAAATAGTCAGAAATGCGTGATATATAGTCGCAATTGTGTGTTATATAGTCAGAATTGCGTGATATAGTCAAACAATTGTGTGTTATATAGTCAGAATTGCGTGATATAGTCACAATTGTGTGTTATATAGTCAGAATTGCGTGATATAGTCACAATTGTGTGTTATAAAGTCAGAATTGCGTGATATAGTCACAATTGTGTGTTATAAAGTCAGAATTGCGTAATATATAGTCACAATTGTGTTAAATAGTCAGAATTGCGTGATATAGTCACAATTGTGTGTTAAATAGTCAGAAATGCGTGATATATAGTCGCAATTGTGTGTTATATAGTCAGAAATGCGTAATATCTATCTATCTATCTATCTATCTATCTATAGTCACAATTGTGTTATATAGTCAGAATTACGTGATATATAGTCGCAATTGTGTTATATAGTCAGAATTACGTGATATATAGTGGCAATTGTGTTATATAGTCAGAATTACGTGATATATAGTCGCAATTGTGTTATATAGTCAGAATTACGTGATATATAGTCGCAATTGTGTTATATAGTCAGAATTACGTGATATATAGTCGCAATTGTGTTATATAGTCAGAATTACGTGATATATAGTCACAATTGTGTTATATAGTCAGAATTACGTGATATATAGTCGCAATTGTGTTATATAGTCAATTGTGTTATACAGTCAGAATTACGTGATATATAGTCGCAATTGCAAGTTATAAAGTCAGAAATCTGAAATAAAGTCAGAATTGGAAGATGTAAACTCGCAATTGTGAGAAAAAAAGTCACAATTATCTTTTAAAATGTTTTATTCTGTGGCGGAAACAAGCTTCCATATTAAATGAATCCAACATCATTTATGAAAATATAAAGATACATAGTAAATAATAAAATGAATAAGCAAAAGAAAATATTGAATTGCTTTGTGATAATTACGTCACTGAAATTAATTCATTAATTATATTATTGCGTTTTGATGATGACATTAGCTTTGCTTCCATCTGCACATTTTGGGATATCACATAAAAATCGCTGGATGGAAACGCAAACACCAATAATGATGGTTTATGTAATTTATGAATGCAATGTTGTGTAATGTGTGTGTGTTGTGGATATGTTCAGGAAGTCTTCAGACGCTGAGGAAGCAGGGCAGTCTGTACGACACGGAGAACGAGGACACCATCTCCACATGGTACAGCACACACCTGGACACCTGGTTCTGTGTGTGTGTGTGCTAATGCGCTGATGTGTGGTTTATGGACTCTGATTAAAAGATGAATTTCTTTCTCTTAGGGAAGGAGAGATTATGACCCACAAAGAAAGTCCTCCCACCAAAAACCCTTTCCTACAGGATCTCGACAATATAGATGTGAGTGTGAGTGTGTTAATGTAACTCAGCAGGGGTTTTGAAAGCATGTAATATCTGAGTGACACTTCTGTGTGTGTGTGTGTGTGTGTGTGTGTGTGTGTGTGTGTGTGTGTGTGTGTGTGTAGACGGGAGGTTTACCAGCAGATCCAGGTTTCGCGTGTCCTTCCTCTGCGGTGGATCGCAGCTCAGGTGTGTATCAACTCAAAATGAACCCTGTCAAAGGCTTGATTTATGTTTCAGCTCTTATTATGAATTCATGCATTTGGCAGATGCTTTTCTCCAAAGTGACTTGCATTGCATTGAAGGTTTGTGTATTATTATCAGTTCAGTTCATGCTTTCCCTGGGAATCAAACCCATGATGCAAGATTATTATCATTAGCTAAAACCATTTTAAAAAAAATGACAAATTTTTTTAAACAAATTTTTTTTTTACTTGAAACAAAATAAAATCTTATTTAAAAAACAAAACGAAAAAAACGTATAAAAAATAATGTTTTTGCTAAGGCAACATTTCTCATTTTAGTTTAGTTTAATTTGATGTACTAAAATAACTAAAACTGAAACTAATAAATACAATTAATAAAAACTATATTGACATATTTCATAAAAATTTTAAACTAATAAAAATGACAAAAACACACAACAAAATTACTAAAGCATTAACTAGAATTATAGTGAAAAGAGGAAATGTAAAAATAAAATAAAATTCAGACTTGAAGTACTAAAATAGCTTAAACTAATACAATTAATAAAAACTAATTAGACATATTTAAAAAAATAAAATTAATGAAAATGTAAAACTCAACCAAATTATTAAGACTTTAACTAAAATTATAGTGAAAAAATTAACCTGAAATAAAATAAATAAAACTACATTAATTATTTGTGTAGTTTTAATTAACTACATTAATTATCAACACAAATACTCTTATCTCGATGAAATCTTGACGGATTTACAAACGGTTTGGTTTCTTACAAACGTTATTAACGTGGCTGTAATTCTGGATGATTATTTATTGATACACTTATTATTCATAAGTGTGCAGTGTCGTAACTACATCTCTGACGTTTATAACAAACCAAACCGTTTGAAAATCGGTAGAAAATTGAGCAAGTTATGGTTATTTAAAAAGTACATGCACCATTAAAACACAATGTTACGAGTGAGCTGCCTGTGGCAAGATGGCCGCCGGGTGCAGACGTCGACCTCCATTGGCCAGCAGCGCGGACGAGACATCTAGCCTTTATTATGGATATCTATGGGACACACGGTCTAATGTGTGTGTTCCTGCAGGAGCGAGCGTTGCCGTGGCGACGGTGAACAGCAGTCTGGAGCGCCTACAGAAGGCCTATAGGCTGGAGGGGAGCGTGAGGGTGTGGTCAGACTTCCTGAGGATACACCTCCACCCGCGCACCGTCGCCGTCATTAACCAGTACAACCATGACGGGTGAGTCATTCACTGGCGGATGCTTCACCTCACTGGAAACCAGTCTGCATTCAGGAGTTCG